TTCGCTAAGTGAAGGCGATGCATGTATTTCACCTTCGAAGCCGCTCTGACCTAAATCGCACCACTACACTACCGCATCGTTTTTCCTCCATGCTGGTGCAATGCTTTTAGGAACAACGTATGGAACATGAACATAAGGTAAGCTTTGCACTTCGTTAGCGAATGAAGTCATGTTGTCTGCGCATGGATGTGTTGGGCTTACTCGAGGCTCAGTCTGTGATCGTGTCTAATGAATTCAACTGAGGATCGCCGGTGGCGTCGAGATCTCAGATCGTCAAGTCGTGGCCGCGGATCTCCATTCTGATCAGAACACAGTCCTGCAGCTGATTGAGACTACTCCGCGGTAGACAAATCTGTCCTTGCATTTTTTTTTTTCTGGGACTCGGTGACTTTTATTCCTTATTTCTTTGTATTGCCTGTATTTTACTCTGATCAGATTCACTTAGGAAACTCGCACAAATATGCAAATGGAATTCCATTTATTAACATTTCTCTCTCTCTCTCTCTCTCTCTCTCTCTCTCTCTCTCTCTCTCTCTCTCTCTCTCTCTCTCTCTCTCTCTCTCTCTCTCTCTCTCTCTCTCTCTCTCTCTCTCTCTCTCTCTCTCTCTCTCTCTCTCTCTCTCTATCTCTCTTACCCTGCCCCTCAGCGCTGTGTGCTTGTTGTCATTACGAACCTATCTGCGTTTACGCTGCACTTGACGCTCGTGCGTGCTCGATAACAGGCGCGCAAATCCAGGGAAAAGCCTCCTTCACCCCAGTGTATGGCGACCAGGAACGGTCACGAGTCAGGGGTCAGACAGGCGTCACCACAGGCCCTAACATGGTATGACTATTACACGGTAAATGCCAATGCTCTTATTAAGTATAATCATGTGTAATGTGTGCTGTTAGCGATCGGTAGCGATAGGACCTGTACCTATGACATCGACAGCCTTAAACGGTTGGTATGCGAAAAATTAAGTTTTCCTCACAATAAGTTCCTGGTTTAACGGAACTCAAGACAAATGTAGGGCATAGCAGCTTCAAATAATTCATCCAATTTTAGTCAAGTCAAACCCGTACTTACCTATCATCAGATCGATCTCAATCGATAAAAATGCATCCCTACCGATCTCTCCCATTTATTGACATTTCTTCCTGAGTAGGTCTAAAAAAAAACTGTTCTAACTACGACACCAGATTGTCCTATCACGCCAGTATATTGACTGATGACGACGTTCCGGTACCAAACCCGGGACGAGCGGGCGAGGTTTTCTGGAATCTGTGGCGTTATCTGTCAACACCTGTCGATCGCCCGCCATGTTCGACATCGCTCGCCAGTGGGGCTCTATCGGTGCGCTCCCGGCATGGCCACTGCGCACACTGAGCCGTATATAGTGGCACGGGTACGGTGTTCGGCCATCAGGTCATTAGACAGGGAGCCCGCGGGGAGCAGCCGCCGAGATCAGTGCTGTGTGGTTAGAGGTCTGAGAAGTCACGAGACAAGCAGGCGAATCCTCAGTGTGGAGTGTGGACATTCGGACAGTGTGTAAGCGTAATGTACAGAATCAGTGTCGATCTGGAGCTGCCGTTTCCTATATTGAAGCCGGACAGTTGATTATGGAGAGATCCATGAAAAGTGACCAGTGAGAGACCAGTGTGCCAGCAAAAGGAGATAAATAAGGATTGGAGAAGTGTCGCATCATCAGTGCCAATAATGCTTCCGAGGGCGACACTGCCTCATTCCCCACTCATCCCTTTTGTTCCCGTGCGACACTGCGACCACCTAGAAAACTGCAGCTGGTCCGACTCGGACGCACAGAGCCGCATCTCCATCATCAGCTACCGCTACTGCTACCCGACCATCAGCGGCGTCGGCATCGTGGGCAGCCTGCTGCTGCTGCTGGTGCTGCGAGACGCGCGGTTCGGCGGCGCCGGCGTCTACACCTACCTGCGCTGTCTGATGCTCTCCGACAGCGTCGCACTGACAGTGGGCGCCGCCTCCCTTCTGGTCGAGTCCTGGGATCCCACCGTCTTCTGCGCCGGCCGCCCCGTCAAGATGCGCTCCCACAGCGGCGCCGTCTGGTACAGCGTGGCCATGCCGCTGACCAACGCGCTGGTCGGGTTCAGCATGGGTGTCACGCTGTGGATGACGTACGACCGCTACCAGGCGGTCAGGGTGCCGCACGAGCTGTGGCGGCAGCGGCGGCCCGAGCGGCGCTGCGGCGGCCGGCCGCTCCGCATCGCCGCCACCCTGCTCGTCTCGCTGGCGCTGCACATGCCGCAGACGCTGGGCTTCAGGGTGGTGCACCACTGCCCGGCAGGTCTCCCGGAGTTCTACGAGCTGCTGCTGACCGACTTCGCCTCCGACAGCTGGGTGTGGTGCAGCTACCAGTGGTCTCTTCAGCTGCTGGTACGCTGGCTGCCCGCCGGAATCGTCCTCTACTGCAACAGCTACATCATCTTCGCCATCAAACGCCGCGAGCGTCGCAAGAGCGCCGCGGACGCCGCCGCGGCCTCCTGCAGTCATGTGGACGTGGAGCGGGTCTCGGACCGGCTGGGCAGCTCGGCAGCTCGCCTCAGCTGGCTGGCCCCCGAGGGGCGCTCGTCGCAGGCCGGTCTGACGGCGGCCGGTGGACCGGACGAGCGCAGCCGCCGCCGCCGGCGCCGCCAGGAGACCGAGAACCGCCTGGAGCTGCTGCTGGTGGCCATGGCTGTGTCCTGCCTGGTGACCAACTGCCTCCAGTCGGTCGCCATCATACTGGATATGGTGTACGAGGACGACGGCATCGACTTCGAGGTAGGCACGACGTTCGCCGTACGTACGGCCCTCCAGCAAAAGAGTGGTTGGTTGGTCTTTATGTTTTAGGCATAATAACTTCGAATGACAGAGCCACTCCAGTAAGATGACTCAATAGAAATGAGAAGAGGGCTCATGTGGACACTTCGGCATTGGCTTTTAACAACCTTAGACGTATTTATTAACGCAGATCGATTTTTGTGAAGTTGGCAACCAACTGGACACAGGACAAATACCTACCGGGAGGGCCGTACCTAGCCGATGGACCTATTGCTATCATGGGGTATGGCATTTAGGACGGAAGAGAGAAGCAAAAATACGATGTTATGCGGTGCCCCGGTTATAGTGAGGTGTTATGAATTCAGTTAAAAACGATAAAGCCCAGTGGGTTAGGCGACAATTTCTCCTTTCGATTGTCATTTATTTTGCATGCCAATAAGGCGGCGGCGAGGGGGGGGGGTAATTTTAAACGTAACTATTGCACGAGCGAGCCAATCCTTCCCGTTAAGTTGACTCGTCCAGTCCAGAAAGGCTGGAACACTCACCACAGCTCTTACTCGTGCAAATCGCAGTCTTGCTACTCGCCTTGGAACACACCATTTTTTTTTTTTGCTCCCAGCTCGCAGCGTTTCAAGCTCCGAGTTCAAGCTCGTCAAATCAAATCAATCGCTCAATCGCTTTGAGTAACTCGTTCATCGCGCTGTGCACATGGCTACTGGTATTTCTTTCATTTGTTTCAGATTCTCCGGTCGGTTGGGAACAATGCCGAGGCGCTGAACGTCTCGCTTGACTTCGTGTTCGCCATGGCGTTCGTGAAGCAGATTCGCGAGGCATTCATGTGTCAGCTGAGATACGCTGGCGAGGCTGTCCGGTGGCTGATCATGGTCCCGTGAGCAGGGCAGCGCGTGGGCCTGGACAGGGAGGGGAACGGTGGCTCACGAGTGAGGGGGAGGGCTAGGGGTAAGGCTGTCCGCTACAGCTGACATGAAGGTGGGGGGAGGGGGATTGGAATGGGAGGACTGTAGTATGCAATGCATATTGGCACGTGCTCGTGTGCTTAGCATAACCATGCTTGTACAAAAGGCATGGAGTCATTATGCGTGCGCGCAGGTTCAGAATTTACTCTCATGGTGCACATCGCATAAGACGACAAGAGTGTTGTTGAACAAAGCCCTAAAGCATATGTGTTCACTGCGCTCGTAATAAGCAAGCGACATAAGTGCAGGTAAGCTAATAAGCTTTTTACAGACTTCTCTTCACCTGTATGATCCCATGAACCTTTTCATATTTCATCCCTAAATGGGTCGTGAATGTCCGACAATGACCTCAATAAATTCAGCTTTACCTGTTAAATTGTCCTATTACCGCTCGTCACTGATAATGTAACGTTAGCAATATATAGGTAGGTACACATTTACAGACCTGCCAGCGAAATAAAGCTACTAAAACATCGTAGAACGTGGTCAAAACGTCCAAGCCTTTACTCGCTCCCGCACGAAGTATTCGCCGTTTGTTACTTTGGTGAGGAGAAATGTCAAGCCATGATCATGGCTTGGCAAAAAAATGGCCACCAATTCGAATTGGTGGCCATTTTTTTCGAAGTGCATCATGATGACCCAAGGCCCCCGAAGTCGGCCCTTGCTGTAATTCCTACAATCAGGGCTGCGGAGTCGGAGTCGGAGTCGGAGTCGGAGTCGGAGTCGGTCGGAGTCGACAGTTGTGACCGGAGTCGGAGTCGGAGTCGGAGTCGATTTTAGAAACCCGAGCCGGAGTCGGAGTCGGAGTCACCGAAAATCTGTCGACTCCGCAGCCCTGCTAGGTCTGCGGAGTCGGAGTCGGGAGTTGGAGTCGGTCGGAGTCGACAATTCTGCCCGGAGTCGGAGTCGGAGTCGGAGTTGGTTTTTGAAAGCCGGAGTCGGAGTCGGAGTCGGAGTCGCCGAAAATCCATCGACTCCGCAGCCCTGCCTACAATCCATTACAAACACATTACACATGCTGCTTACCAAGCGCAATGATAAGAATTGTGGGTCAATATTTAAAATCGATATAAAATGTAAGAGTTCAGACTTCGCTTTTGAACAGATATCCTCTGGAATCACCCATGCTCCGCCCGTCTAAAACTCAGTGATGCTAAATGCAGTTGTCACACGCCGCCGCCACGAACACGACACCTTACGCAGCGCTATCGCTTACAATTATGCCCTTGTTCGTATGCTTTCGAAAATGTCCTTTTTATTTATCTGGTGTATAAGAAAGACACCGCCGACGTCTTCTGGGAAAACAACACACATGGGTCGGGACCGTGGTATCGTAACATTACACACTGTAAGCAGTGGCGGTCGCAGGGGGGGGGGGCATTGCAGGGCCATGGCCCCCCCCAAAGGCAAATCAGGGGGGGCCATCATATCATTTGGCCCCCCCAAACAACCGATGGGCCCCCATGGCCGTATGGGGCCCTGGCCCGTATTCGATTGTCACGAGGCTCGAGAAACCCACGCCAGCTATTAACAGCTCCCATACCAGTCTTTGAGGGTCCTACACTGACCTCTGAGGGCCCTTCAGTGGCGGTCAAGCGTCCACATTGACCGCTGAGGACCCGTATTGACCTCTGAGGGCCCTCCACTGGCCTTTGAGGGCCCCTAAACCGGCCTCAGGGGCCCAACCGGCGTCTGAGAGCCTCACACCGGCCTCTGGTGGCCTCATTTCAGTCTCTCGAGTCCCAAGACTAGCCTTGTGTTTAGTCTTGTCTCTGAGGGCCCCGCACTGGATTCTGTAGACCCGATGTCGAGCCAGCATCGGCCTCTGGGGGCCCATCTTGGCCTTTGAGGGCCCTCCGCTGGTCTCTGGGGTCCAACGCCGGCCGATGCCGGCCTTTTAGGGCCCCACACTGACCTCTAAGGGCCCATGCTGGCCTGTAAGGACCCACGTTAGCCTCTGAGGGCCCCCCGCACTGGATTCTGATGACCCAATGCCGGCCGCTCAGGGCCCGCATCGGCGTCTGAGGGCCCATCTTGGCTTTGAGGGCCCTCCGCTGGCCTCTGGGGTCCAACGCCGGCCCATGCTGGTCTTTTAGGGCCCCACACTGACCTCTGAGGGCCCGTGCTGGCCTGTAAGGACCCATATTAGCCTCTGAGTGCCCAATTCGGTCTCTGATGGTCTCAAACTGCCCTTTGCAGGCCCTGTACTGGTCTCTGAGGGCTCTAAACTGGCCCCTAAGAGCCCAAACCAGCCTCTAAAGGTCCCACGACCCACACCGGCCTCTAATGGTCCCATTTCTGTCTCTGGGACCTAAACTGCCCTTATAAGCCTCTGAGGGCCCCGTACTGGCTTCTGAAGGATCGATGCCGGCTTCTGAGGACCCATACCGGTCTTTAAGTGCCTCATAGCGACACCTGAGGCCCCACACTAGCCTATGAGGGGCCCACAAACTGGCCTATGAGGTCTCTACACCGGCCACTGATGGCCCTATTATGTTCTCTGGGGGGCTCAAGCCTTACCTTTGGGCGTCACGCACTTGCTTATGAAGGCCCACATCAGCCTCTGGGGCCCTACCTGGGGCCTTTGAGGCCCTTCGCTGACCCTTGGGTCCAACGCCGGCCTCTGGGGGTCTGACACCGTACTCTAAGGGCCCCATTGCAGCGTCTAGGCGATAGGTATCGTCGAAGCGCTATCGATGGGCCCATAAGTGTAGGAACCATGGGTGCAGTGGGCGCAGTTGCACCAACAATAATTCTGCAGTGAGTGCAGACAATGTATTCTGCATCCACAATAATCTGGAACAAAACCCCCTTTCCTCAGCAACACTACTTTCCATGCAGCACGACAAATTCAGGATATTTTGTTCACTATCAGTATCCGTCTTTCGAAGCATTTGCTACTGTAATGGTCGTCAAAATTTGCATTTGTGCTCAAGCAAAAAAAAAAAGAAAAAAAGATTAAACGGAAGTCGGAACACATGTGATTGAACAGTAAACAGATACCGATGACCCACTGTTAAAAGCTTTAGCACGATGATCTTAAAAAATGGCAAAGTTTTTTTGCAAAGAAAATGGCAAAGTTAGCCGCCTTTACTTTTGCGGTAGTCCATTCACAGTTGCGTGAATTATTGACATAATCAATGCTTCAAAATGCACTTTTCGGTACCTTTTCGACATGGTGCATCCTCAAAGCTCTCAATGAGCCTCCGCTCGGGTGCCGTTCCTTACCCCCCCCCCCCCCCCCCCGCTTCACCGGCCATGGCCTAGATTTCTGCACCCGTGCACTACGCCCGTGGGCCCCTTTAAGCTAGCACCGGGCCCCCCGGGTCAGCGCAGGGGCCCCTTTGCCAAGTTGCCCCCCCCCAAACTCCAAGTCTGCGACCGCCCCTGACTGTAAGCAAACGCTTGAGTTATGAGACCACACACGTATGGAAAGCCCTCGACCAATGTCGCTTTATTGATCGGCGTTATTAGCCACGTCAGCTTTAGACGGTGGCGCCAATATAGATTGAAAAACGGACACCACCTGCTGAATCCGACACAGGAACACGTCTCGAATTTGGCGGACAAACACTATGGCGTACACGAAGTCTAGACAGAAGTTCAGTGCTTCTACATTGTTGGCGATCGCCCGGAAAATCTGAAAAAGAAACAGACTTATCAGACTCGTAAATGCTGGTATCAAGCGTTGCACTTCGTGTAGAGTGTAGATTTAGGTATAAGCACAAACCGAACACCGATTTCTTCATGAAGCGGATGGCATTGAAAGTTTGACGATGAGTATCGACGGCAAGTCTGTCGGTGCAAACAGGTAAATTGCGGTAAAACGAGAAAGACTTTTAATATTGATTCCAAAACTGTTTTGCTACCAATGATACGGAAACGGAACTCAGAGTCCGAGCCAAAGCCGACGGAAAACTTGGTTAGGAGCCGGAAATGTCAATGAAAGACTGCACCGAAGTGAAATTCATGCATATTGCATGTTGGAGAATATCTAATAAACTTTCTGTCAAACATACTTAATTGGCAAATTAATATTTATGTTCACCTGAAAGCCGAGGTCGCGCTGCTCGTAGACCAGCTCCAGTATGCAGAGCGCCGACTGGAGGCAGTTGGAGACCAGGTAGGAGGCCGCCGTGGCCGCCAGCAGAAACTCCATGCGGTGCTCGGCCTCCTGGCGGCGCTGGCGCTGCCGGCGCGCCGAGTCCACGGACGCGGACGGCGGCCGCTGCGGCAGCGGCGAGGGCGGCGGCGCCGGCGGCCGCGGCAGCTCGCAGACGCCGACCAGGCTGACGCCGCTGCAGCTGCTGGCCGAACTCTCCCCGCGCGGCCGCCGGGTGACGCTCTCCGTGCACTGTTGGCTCATCGTGTTTGCAATCGCCTGCACGCGGCGCTCGCGGCGCTTGATGGCTACGATGATGTAGCTGTTGCAGTAGAGGACAACGGCGGCCGGCAGCCAGCGCACCAGTACCTGCAGGGCCCACTGGTAGAAGGGCCAGACCCAGCCGGAGGCGGCGCCGTGGATCAGCGACACCGTGTAGAACGTGTCGCCCTCCACCGGGCAGTGCTCGACCACATGATAACCCAGCGTCTGCGGCATGTGCAGCGCCAGCGAGACGAACAGGGTGGCGGCGATGCGGAGCGGCCGGCCGCCGCAGCGCCGCTCGGGCTGCCGCTGCCGCCACAGCTCGTGCGGCACCCTGACCGCCTGGTAGCGGTCGTACGTCATCCACAGCGTGACGCCCATGCTGAACCCGACCATTGCGTTGGCGAACGGCACGAACACAATGCGCCAGATAGCCTCTGCGCGAGAGCGCGGCTGCAGGCGGCGACCGTCACAGTCCACGTATGTCTGCCACGTCTCGGCCAGGAAAGTGGCTCCAGCCATCGTCAGCGCGGCGCTGTCGGAGAGCATCAGACAGCGCAGGTAGGTGTAGACGCCGGCGCCGCCGAACCGCGCGTCGCGCAGCACCAGCAGCAGCAGCAGGCTGCCCACGATGCCGACGCCGCTGATGGTCGGGTAGCAGTAGCGGTAGCTGATGATGGAGATGCGGCTCTGTGCGTCCGGTTCGGACCAGCTGCAGTTCTCCAGGTGGTCGCAGTACACCAACATGCCGACGTCGGGCCCGGGAGGCGGAGCAGCGGGAATTCGCTCACTCATGGCACACACCCAAAGCTGATTCTCACGGTCATGGTTTCCAGAATCCAAAAGATAGGCGACATTATTGAATTAAGGAGCCAGCAGCGAGACACAACAATCACAAACAGGAACAGACGACAGACAAAATCCGATCCTATCGATGTGGTACGTCACTGTAGCAGAATTAACACTATCTGCACCAGTGGAACACCCGATTACGCAAGCAGCTTTCGATGTTTTAGCTACAAAAGCACTGCAACCTCGTCTTCAAATACGTCGTAAGATTATTCGTCCGAAACGATTGTGATGGCCCAGATTTTCCCGATGTTCCACAGCCGCAGACGGCGCCACTGTCCGGAGTCCGCCCCCACTGTGCGGCACGGCCGCCGGGCCACAGTCCCTGATGCAATGTGGGAGCATCACCACCCTACCGTGCCACCCACCCGCCACGCAGTCCCACCATGACGGGCGATAGGCCGACACGCGTATCGGGTGAAGCGCAGACGAGCGGCAAATTACGCTCGCCACTGAGCCACCGGTCAACATGTCAACACTATCGGCAGGTGGAGGGATAAATTTGGAACGGCGCATCGACCCTGCCCCGGATCAGAACGCCAGGGGATGAGTCATGCTTTTATGAATATCACGTTTCTTCACACGTGGGATGCGATAGAAGCATAATATCGGTCTCATACGTGCATTAGTAAAGTGATATTAGGCATGATATTATGATAGATGAGAAATCATTTGTAAATGCAATGTGGAGCAGCAACGTCTACATACATAGTCACTAGTCAGTGCTCTTAGTAATGAATAGTTGAAATGCATTTGCATCAGCACACAACTGGCATGCCTGCTGCTTAGCAAATGTCACATAGTGATGCTGAATGTGATGATGTAATCGCTAGCATCAAGTATTTGCCAGCCAAGCGCAGTACCGTTACGTTGGCGTCGTATAGGCACTGTAAGTTCGACCTTTCGCGTAGTACGTATGTAGTCCAATCTCAATAAACGTAGTGAGATCGCGGCAAGTACACGATTCTGACACATCACCGTCCAACGATAAGATGGTGACACTTGTGAAACGAAAGGATACTGTTTGTTAAAATAAAAACCCTTATATTGCACTTTGCAGTAGGTACCGGCTTCTGCGATACATACAACAAATAAAACTGACCTCAATTATATACCCATGAAGCAATAATACAACGGTAACAAATGGCAGCTTGCTTATTGCCCGGATAATAATCATCAGCACACTGGCGCACAGTACAGATCCACACAGCGGTGTACACTGTATAGTCTCTCTTGAAAGTATCGCGTCCTGGGCTGCGGCGGCTCAGCGAACTATTCCATTTAGTTTGAGGACCCCAGTAGGGAGGTCATGGCCTGTATCATAAAAAGTACGCTGTAACACGATTTCACGCCAGCGGTAGAAGGAAAACTGCTATATGACGCAGGCCCCAGCGGCTGACAACTGGGTCAAAACAGGCGGAGGCCGGCCAAAGGTCATGCTCGTATCGCTCTCCCTTGACCCCGTCCACCGCCCCAGGCGGATACCGGTGCCTCTTGGGCTCACCAGCCGGGCGCTCATTGGTGTGCCTTTCTGGGCGCCAATCACTCTGTGTGTGTGACGCGTAAAATCACAACGAAGCGAAGTTCCGCCATAACCCTTACTATAATGAGGCCTTCTGAATGACGTAAACAGGTCATGCGGGGTGTGTGGGGGGGGGGGGAGCCTGACATCAAATAAGTTTTTAAAAAGAACATGGCTGCACAGCATTACTTTTTCTTTTTTGTCGCCGTTCACTAACCGGCTCATTAAAAAGAGAGAACTTCAAATATAGGACTAAATGGCTAGACAGCGAATGTGCGAACTGGCTAGAGAGATAATTCTTGTTTTTGAATTCGCTTACGAGTGCATGTGCAAGCACGGATGCATTCTGTTAGCGGTGCAACTGATGATTTTTGGGTATATTGGCACGAGTTTCCGGATTTTACCCCCCCCCCCCCAAAAAAAGGTGACAGTCGTGCCGATGACGAGTCAAATTGCTAACTTTGCAATGAAACAAATCTCAAGAAATCCTCTGCGAGTAGGGTGGCCTCCGTTGACCATATGCTTAGCTGCCATCACAAGTTACCGGATGGCGACTGCCACCCCCCCCCCCATCCCTCCGCAGTCCGCAACCACTCCCCTCGGCCCGCTGCGCCGGTTGCCTCCGCGTGTCAGGCTTCGGCCAGTGCTACCAGCGGCTCTCAAACCTTTCCGCTCAACCGCGGCTGGGACAGGTGGCGCCTTCCCTCGGAGTCGCGATACTTTCAAGAGAGACTATACAGAGGTGCCCAGATATATACGAGTATATGTAAAAGATCAATACTGTGATACTAAAACATGCATGTAGGTTAATTCACCCGCCTAAATCTCACATCACTTCAGTTACCCGCATGCAAACATGCACGGATTAGAAACCTGATAGCTAAACCATGAAAAAAGGACGCGGCGGTACTTAGAGTTTAGACCGACCGTCAAAATCATGCAGCTCACAAAGTTTCTGTGACGACCAGCGTCGAAGCTGGTGTCTGCTCGGGCAGAGGTACGACAATCCCAGCAGTACCCTCGACACCGGCGGACCCGAACTCACAGACGGGAACCAGAGAGGTCAGCGTCAGGCACGTCTCGCTCGGCCCGCTGACACCGGTCTGAACCGCCGCCGAGGGCGCTGGAGGCACACCCGGCGCACCTCCAATCCCCTGAGGTGCGCCCTCCCGCTCGGTACCCTGCCCGACCGTGACCAGCTGACGCATCGAGCTGCCGTCCCTGACGTCGAAGATGCCCTGCGCGGTGCGAACGGCGGTGCGGCCGATCCTCTCACGACGCACGGCCGCCAGCTGTTCGGCTGTATGGCTGCGCAGGTGAGCCGTCAGTGGCGTGCGCTGGCTGAACGCGCGGCCGCACACGTCGCACACGTGCGGCCGATCGCCCGTGTGCGTCCTCCGGTGGGAGGAAAGGATACGCTCGGTGCGGAACGTGCGGCCGCATATCTCACAGCTGAACGGCCGCTCGCCCGTGTGGATACGCAAGTGTTCACGCAGCATCTGCGCCGAGGACATCTTTTTCTGGCACACGTGACACTCTGCGGGTTTAATGCCGAGGTGGCTGCGCTGGTGGATGCGTAGCGCGTGGCTGGAGAGCAGCGTTTTGCCGCAGACGGAGCAACAGAAGGGCCGCACGCCCGTGTGGTCCACCTCGTGGCGGCTGAGCGCTCGCCGGTCCATGAACGCCCGGTCGCACGTGGTGCACCGGAACCGGCGCTCGTTGGTGTGCAGCTGCACGTGTTTCTGCAGCGAGCTCGAGCTGGATAGCTGCTTCTGGCAGTACGGACAGGTCTGAGGCTGGGACGAGCGGGGCGCGGACCGACTGCCGCGGCCCCGCCGCCCGGGGGGCTCTGTCGTCACCAGCCACGTACAGTCCTTCTGAAATGCACAAAATCATATACTCGTACATGGAAGATTTTGCAGATAAATGATTAAAAAATGATATAATTTTACTACATCAGCGCAAGAATGATGTAAATATAAATCTCGCACAGCTGATACGCAAAGAAACGCTCACCAATACCAACAAGTAAAAAGCAATAAACATGACTTAGATGGCATCAGTAGGTATCTCACCTGAGCAGATGTTGGAGCATCTGATGCCTGCGGTCCACTCATTTCCCCTGAAATAAACAAGTAGACCGGACCAGAATAAAACAAATGCTGACAATAAGGGAGTATAAATCTCACTCTGCACTGCCGTCGACTGCGGTGGTCATTTTGGGCTGGGCATTTTTTATCGTTGGATAGGTATTATCGTAGTCAGCCTGCGGTCGGTATTAGGGCATTATAATTCAGCTTGACTTTGTGCTAATTCAATGTTCACTGCTTCTCGTATAAAATAGTAAAATACGACCCAAAGCGACGCTCAAGGCAGTGACGCAAAGCAGTACGAACCGAGAAACACATTCTCATTCGTCCCCTGTAGTTATCAGAATACGGGCACATCAATCACACCGTTCCGTGCTTCTATCCTCAGGATACAGAAATCCTTCTCCTCCACGCCGCAACCCCCCTCCGGGCTGGACAGGCAACTTTATCTCATGCGGGCTTCTCCCTTGGAGCAGCACCGCTGCTCCCGAGGGAGCGCACCCCGTAGCCGGGTGCAGTGAGTGCCTTGGGGCTGGGTGGCCTGTCCTCTGGACGGGCTCAGCCCCGGCGACTCACTAGGGTGCCTGCCCAGACCAATGTCTCCCACTTTATCCTATCATCCTCCCGGCTCTGAAATGGTCTTGCCAGACCGAAAGGGCCTAACCCCCCGCCCCCCAAAAAAAACATCAATCACATCATGACAAATTGTGTGGCGTTAAATCCATTTGACAACCATGTAAACTCAATTTCACACGCAACGATCTATGCCGACAAGAAGCATTTAGTCATTAACTCGTCAAAACTTCTTTCGATGTTTATCACAACTCATTAGCGTAAAAGTGAATAACTGAATACCTATCGATTCGGCAAGACACTGGAATTTCGGACCTAGAAGGTACGAAATTCGAAAAAGTTGGGGGGGGGGGGCAGTCATGCTCAGCAACATTTTTATTCCTAAAAAAAAAAAACAGCCGCTGCCTTGAAACAGGAAAAATTGTCAAATGATCGCTAACTTGTTCGATGACGTGTATGCTGCACGTCGTTTAATACTGATCTGTTTTCGTCATCGTGTCGTGCAATGTCATGTGCTTACTAAACGTCTCGTTGTATTGACTATTTTTTGTCCATCACTGAACGCATAATATAGAAAAATTGATCTCGCAACACCCTCGCAAGTCGCACACAAAAAAGGAATACAAAACTAAGTGTTTATTTGAATTCAAGTGCGTTACAAAAATAACGAGTAATCATCGAACACATGACAATTATGAACAGCATGAATTAATAAAACATGAATCGGTCATCTCGACCGACAAGAACAATTAAGAGAAGACGGCGAGAAAACAAATGACTGAAGCAAGAAACGGATGCTGTAAACAACTGCTGTTGGCAGTGCAGTGCAATGAAATCAGAGCCTTAACATAGGTCATAAGCTCATAGGCTCAGGTAGTGTCTGCCTCCCGACAGGCTGCTGCAGCTCCCTGACTAAATGAGACCCTGTCGTCGCTGCAGTACGGCCTAACCTCACTGTACCGGTCCTGCCGGCGCGGTCATCCACAGACCCTGGGCGCCCACAATCGACCCATCCGGCCCGTGTGAATCGCGCCAGTGCGCCTTCAGGACCTCCGCGCCCGGAAAGCACTGTAAGCACGCCGGGCACTGGACCAGCTCCGCAGAGGGCACCACTGGCGCCGACGGTGGCGGCGGCGGCGGCGGCGCGTCTGGAGCGTCGGAGCGCGCGCTACACACCATGCTCTGTATGTGTTTCTTCAGCGGCGTGCACTGCGAGAAGCCCCTGTTGCAGCGGGGGCACCGGTACGGCCGCTCGCCGGTGTGAGTCCGCCGATGGGACGCCAGGATCTGCGACCGGGCGAACCGCTTCCCGCACACCTCGCACACGAACGGTTTCTCGCCCGTGTGAACGCGCATGTGGTCCCGCAAGGCCGATGGCATGCGGAACGCCTGGTTGCACACGGCACAGACGTGCGGCTTCTCCCCGCTGTGAATCATCTTGTGTCGCACCAGCACCTTGGCCGTGGCGAACATGCCACCACACACGTCACAGCAGTGAGTCTTGACGCCAGCGTGCGTCTCAATGTGCCGCCGCAGCTCGTGTGTGGCGCGGAACGCCTTGCCGCACTGCTCGCAGCTGTTGCTCTTCTCGCCCGTGTGGATCTTGCGGTGCCCGATCAGTGCGCTGTGCTGTCGGAAGGCAGCTGGACAGGTGTCGCACTTGAACGGCCGCTCGTCCGAGTGTATAGCGGCGTGCGTGACCAGGTCGGAGCGGCGCACGAACGAGCGCTCGCACACCGTGCACTGGTGCGGCCGGATACCCTGGTGGAGCTTCAGGTGGGTGTAGATGGAGCGCTTGTCGGCGTACCGTTTGTCACACACCCGGCAGGCGTAGGGCCGCGGACCGGGGACCACCTCTATCAGAGGGGACAGCGAGCCCCGCCTGGCCCGGGCTGGTGGAGGCGCCATAGACGAGCGCTTCTTTCTCCGCCGCGGCAAGGCTGACGATCTGACCTGGAATAAACAACAGACGCAATGCAGAGGAGCCGATGTTTCAGTCAAATATATAAATTCCATGGAATGCCAAGACAAGTGAGTCAGTTACACTGAGTTTGCTAATGATCTTTAGAATGCAATTTGCACCGTGAGACATGTCAAAAGTCACATAGGTATAAAATAGTCTTGGTTGCAAACTTATTAAACCCTTTATCACCAATGAAAACTGACTCGCAGCACGTTACATGAGTCAGATAAACACAGTCAAAGCTTAACAAACATGGTTTTTACCCTGAAAATATTCAAAAAGCGCAAACTAAGACGGTTTCACTTGCTGACTCCTCACCTGTTCAGTGTCGGAGTAGTTCGGATCGTCTGTCACCTCGTCCTCCTGGGGCGACCCGCTGTCACTGGACGAAGCCGGACTGCCACCTGAACCGCAGCGAGCACCACTCAGGGCACAGCCGCGCCAGCAACGCGCCGCCGCCGGCTCGATAGAGGAGGACCAGCTCCGGAGGGATGGGGACAGACCACCGCCGGCCCGGGGAGGAGACAGCTCCGGAGGGATAGGGACAGACCACAGACGTGGCACAGACGACCGGGGAAGGGGGATCCCGAGGGAGCAGGACAGGCCCGAAACAGCTCGGACGGCCCCTGACGGACCGAGCCCGGAGAGTGGAACGAGCCACCAGCACGCCGCAGACGGCCCGAGAGGGGCCGGCTCCTCCGGAGAGGTTGGGACAGGCCAGGACTGACGCAGACATAACCACGGCGGCAGAAATGGATGGCGGACGGATAAAGAGACTTGTGACCGTCGAAGGCACTTGATAGGCTCGGTTGAGGCGCACAGATTAGCTGGGCGATCGAGTACGGAATCCAGTGTGGAGGAGCGACCGCGGATTTGACGGGATGAATGTGCGAGAATAATTATCGAAGAAATGCGACCAGTGATGTCGTCAAAGGAATGATTGCAAGAATGCATTGTTCTCTTGTAAGTTGCTCATTTAGTCATCGTTTACTTTAAGAAGCAAAAGCTTTCTGAATAAAAACCAAAAGTCCCACAACTTCATGGCATTCGTAGCAGCGTAAGAACATAATCAACGATGTAATTTATGCCAGCGAGACGTCACGAATGATGCTGATGCTTAAGGAGTACCTATTAGGAGCTCATATTACGATACTTTGATCTATGGAAATCCTTTGCGGAAACTGATTGTAGTAGCCGATGGGAAATAAGCAGTCGGCAATAGTGTTATGCGGAACAGTATGGCTCCAGGCGTTTACCACTAGTGACATCTATCAGCAGTAGCGATGTCAATTACGGAAAATCGGAATACCGATACCAAACCAACTACCAACCAAAACCACGGGAAAATACCGAAACCAAACCAACTTTGGGAAATGAGGGAAATACCAATTTTTTACCGACTTATTAGCCTCTTATACATTAGTGAGGGTTTATGATACCGACAAAATACCAAACACATTACGATTGAAATACCAAATACCAATTTGGTATCGGTTTGGTATCGGTATACCAAAAAGTTGGTATCCGATTGACATCTCTAATCAGCAGACACGTAAGTTATATCCATGATAGTGACGAAACATGATTGCAGATTTATCAGGATCGCCAAGACAAGGCAGACAGCGAGCCTGCTGTTGTTATAGATGTGCATTAATTATAGCTACGATACAGAAACTAAATTGCGATAGGCGTAGCTAAGATAAGGCATAGTTTTGCTTATCATTGAGCTGGTGCAGGGTGGGAGCAGATTTATCAGTAACACTAATGCTCGTTAGAGCGTCAAAGAAAATACCGTGGAAAACATGCATAATGCTAGCTTTGGGTCTGATTCATAGGTACTGAGGAAACTCAGCAGCCCGTGGTTTTTCATTCGTGATAAGCAAGCAAAAATTATAGCGATTGAGTTGTTAACTCATCATCCAATCACTTTACCTATTCTCCACGTCTGCTCCTTCCAAAACCCGAATGTGTCCAAGTGGCATATTACCGAAGCCAGAGCCCGCGCAAAACAATGCTCGTTGCGTAGGCCCTGGCCTCTACCGTCCGATCGGGAAATTCTTCCTTTTAGTGTGCCAACATAGTCGGTCACGGCAAAAAATTGTCGGCCACCATCGGTCCCAAAAGGCAAAAGACACAGTAATTACAGTCAGCGACTAAGATTAACACAAATAAAGTCGACATGGACTAATAAGCAGCAATTAGCAGAGATGAGCACTTACCAGACTCGACGTTGACCGCGGGTTCCTAGAACAAGAAAATGGGGCAATGTTAGTTGTATGATAAATATTGCGGTAAAATAAAGCACCTGAATAATTAAAACCTACGAACAGCATCTTCCCAGTAGATGTCAAGCAACTCGACTGCTCAGACATTACGATCGTATTGCACCGTACAATGAGTGGAGTGAATTGCAGTGTACATACGTCTGATCGTAGCACCCGGTATGCCCGCAGCCCGACAGCCGTATTCGTTCAGCCTGTCTAGTGCCTTAGACATAGAGGACTCTTCAGTGTCCTGTCCTCACCGTGGGGTCATCGGCGTCATCCGAGTCCCCCAGATCGGCCAGCGGGTCCGCCAGGACCTCCGGCTGTTGGTCCGTCTCCGAGACATCCTGTCCAGGAATACCGCACACTTCATAAAAAAGATCGATTTGACACAGTCAAGCATAACATCGCTTGTGTGTGGGCGGTAAAATTAAGCAGTTCTTGCTGGGATGTTACTGGTAATAGGTTGGATGCGAGATATTTGTTAAAACAAACCATACATTCCTCATGAATCGAAAACACGATCAGCGGAAGGTTGGGACGTCTCATGACACTCACCGCTGTCTCGTGTAAAGCGGTGTCCGAGTCAGCCGGCTTGCTCTTTTTGGGCGTTGCTTTTCTCGGTCGCCGAGTTCTCGGTTTCTCTGAAGTAACGCAAACATGACATGCATTAGATGTGTGTTCAACGCAAATAAAAGCAAATCAACGTTAAAAACATACAAACAATAAATTCATGGTACAGTAAGCGCAAATTAATATAATATATCATCTACAAAATGAAAAAATGTACCTGCAATTCACATATTTTACCGGATGGTTTTCAATCTTCAAGCTGTTTGAATAATTCACTCTTTTAATCAGATGGAAGCCAGCATGTTGAACAGCGAATTCCAACCAAAGCAACACAACAATGGCAAGGAACAACAAAAATATCTCAGCTTTGTGACCAGGCATTAACGGCTACATAACATCTGCTTAATACCTACTACTGTAACCAGAAAGCTCAAATACACTTCAGTGCATATTCACCAGAAGCGGATGAAGCAGATGATCTCAGTGCCTTGGAAGAGGTGGTCCGCCTTTGGGTGGTGTTCGTCACCATCTCCACCAGCTGCTTGGTCATGTCGGCCAGCCTGTTCTCGTAGATGACGATGTCGTTGACGAAGGCGGCGCAGCGGGGACAGACAAGGTCGCCGGGCGCGCTGCCGTCTGGCCAGCCGTCCACCGGCGCGGCGGAGCGCACCTTCTCCAGGAACGAGACGTCTGGCTGAGCCGGACAGGCCGCGTGCACGTCCTGGGAGGTGGCCAGCTCCGACTCGGCCAGCGCGCGGTCACAGATCAGGCACTGGGGCACCCACGACCGGCCGGTACTCCCCGACGGCCGGGCAGGCGCCACGCTGTTCATGGTGAAGCCTTCCGCGGCTCAGCAGTGGCGTAAGGTCCTAAAACAGAGATAACAATGAAGCGCACAACGTGCCAAACTGCCAAGCCAGGCAGACATTGACGCGACCGATCGCGACGCAATTTTCAGTACCTTCGAGTTTAACACTTTTAGCCTGAAAACTTCATGGCCCTGATCTCCGGGGATGGGGAACGGTAGATTGCTTGTGTAGCGGCTTGGCGGCTTGTGTAGTGACTCGGACCAGTTGCCGGGACACTGACGCAAGCCACACAATGAACCGCCCGGGTCAGTGAGCGGGCGTCCGAGGGCAGGGCGGCCGCTTGTTTCGCCAGGTTGTCCATGTTTTCACTCCCCTCGAATCTCGATCCCGCAGTAGGCAGGAACCCACTGCAGGATCACTTCATGATGCTCGGCAATGTCAATTAGGTCTTCCATACTTATCTCCGCACTAAAGGTGTCACTTGGGCAGCTGTTCCTTAGAGCCGCCCTGAGTTAGACTCAGGGCGGCTCACGACCACGAGTCACGAGTCCACGACTCTGAGCACCTAACGACTGGGGTGGGGTAGGTCTCGTCCCGAACCCTCTCTAGAGCTGACCGCAGGGCAAATCTGCTGCTAGATTGCCCGGCATACCGACAAATTCAGCGACCGCCATTCAACAAAAAATTATGTGACCACCAGAGCCCTGGTCCAAAAAATTTGCTGTCTCATGGCTCATGCTCTCAGCTCTGAATTCGGCACATGCGAAGTTACACCTGACCTAACGTGAGCTGAAATTTTCAACACAATCAAGCCACCATACTGGACGAATTTGGCATAACGTGTATTTTTCCAATCTGGCAGGTGCCTAACTCTCATAGTAAATGTTCAATCAAACCAACACCTTGATGACATCTTTGTACGTTAGTCATTCTCCTGTTATTTGAGGTAGGTAGCTTGTAACTTTGTAACTCCATAGGCAGGCACCTTCCTACAGTTCAGTGACGGTGAAGCTCAGCTCTGGCTCAGGCGCAAATTGAAATGAAATAGGTAGACCCACATCAGGGTACAATTGACCGACATCAACATTGTATTTCCAGTATGCCTGATGGTTGAGGACAGTAATTAGCCTTCTGAGTTCTAACCCGTGATTTCTAAATTTACACGAGTGTATATAAAACAATAAAAAGATGGTGGTGACAGGTATACTGCCTTTGTGACAGGTATGTACCCTGAAAATTCTCTCAAACGCAATCAATATATGTTATTTGCGATCGCAATTGCAAAAGAAACCATTGAATTCGGTACTTTGTGTTCAAAGTGAATAGCTGATGACCGTTTTCTGCTAGAGATTCTTCACGCGCTTATCCTTTCACGGGTTAGCCCTTTCCATCGACAGGGATAGATTCTGCTTAAGAACACATTTAAATGCCGCAATTGTCTTATCGGTAAAACCAATGGTTTATTACCGTGGGTTTATTGTTTTGGTTTTATTGGTTTCACCGATTTCGCCGGTTTCACCTTCTTTTCTAGGCTCTTGCCTATGATCTAGGTTCTTGCATGAGAAAGGTAACGTTTATTAAAGCTGCGAATTATTTTGAGGTAGGTGTATTATGTTTCATGGTTTGTTTTCTACTGCTGTGACTTGAACGATCGTATCATCATCCCAAGTGGGTGCATAAATACGTTAGGTCAGCACAGTGCTTTATGTGTAAGCCCACCCATATAGCAAAATGATGTAGATAATTTATTGCTCAGCTTCATGAATTTTGGGACATATTTGCCCTGACACCAGTATCATCTGACCAGTGAAGAATGGCTGTGTCAACAGCAACAGGCCATGTAGGTTGAAGTGTGAAACATTCCCCGCATTTGGAGTGTCTCAGACGAGGCAGATTCTACATCTTGCGGCCAACCCATTCCATAACCGCAGCCAAGCCCCGGTGACCTGGGACGGGATTGGCTGGATTATTTATATAGTTATATACATTATACACTGTGGTGGGCTGGACAACGTAGAATCTTCGTCGTCCAAGAGACACCTAAGATGGGTTGTTTTAACTTGTTGCATAACAGACCATTTTATTTCAGTCCTCCTTGTGAGTTGTGATAAGCAGGCCAGCGGCTCATATATCTAATGACTGAGTTCAAAAAGTCATGGATGACACAGCCAGCACAAATACTTCAGTTGAAGACAGAGACTTTGGTGACAATCCAACAAGTGATGCACTCTCAGAAGGATTTCTGAACTCTGTAAAACCTGTCATCGATCGCATTGATCTTGGAGTCAAGGAAACACAGTGAGTCACAAGTTTAAATTGTTATTCCCTTTAATTTGTTTGTTTCAATAATAATCCATTTTATCCTTAAAAATGCATGACATCAAAAACATGCTCTAATCACTTGCATGCAAATTTTTCAACTTTCTTTGATGTGAGGAATTATATTATCATCCCAACAAGCAATGAGAGTCCATTTCAGTTTGAAAAGCTGTATCTTACATGCACATAAATATTTATTCATTAGTAATGAAGTTCAACCCCAGAAAGTTCAACTGTATGCTGCTCTTGCAACCACTGACTTTACCTGCCTTGGGTACAAGCTTAATCACATATCTTAGCACTTGTAGAAGGAAATGGCCCTTATTGACCAGGCACTAGGGTTTGATAACCAAGCTCCATAACTTTGTTAAAGCAATAACCATGCAGTCATTTGGAATGAGCCAGCAGATGGCTTCCTAGTGCCTTCTTTGGTTTCCTTACACCCACTTGTCATTTCTTTGAATGTTCCAGGTAGAGCTTTGAGATACTTACCCACTAACCATTTCAGCTACCAGCACAGTTACAGCTAGCTAATACTGGCCAGTGGCCACTGAATGGCCACCCTGTCGCTAATGCCTTGTCACTAATGTCACTAATGCCACCCTTACCTTAAATGTTAGAAGTAATGCTAGGTAAGTACCATCATCACTACAGGTAGAACCAGATCAAGAAAGTGTGACTAACCCTTCCCTCCTCCATCACAGAGAGAGCCAGGAGACGCTGAGTGCCCTGCTCGAGGCGATCGCCGAGGACTTTGCCCGGTTGTCGGCCGTAGCACCGTCGCCGGTTGACATTGAGGAGCACGTGAAGCGGCTGCACAGCGTAAAGAGACGCGTGGCCGTCACCAACAACACGCTGCAGACCGTGCAGGTAACGGCCGGAGACTCGGCGGCTGTGGATGGCTCTCAGGTCACATCGCCGCCACAGCTAGTGCAGTCAGCTGTGCACGCTTATTCATTCATCGATTCATTCATTCATTGATTCGTTCTTTCATTCATTATATATTTCATTCATTCATTCATCCATTCCATTTGTTTATTCAATTAACCCTTAGATCATACACTGCTGCTCGTTTATTTGAATAGATTCATACTTCGCTCATTCTCTCATTGGCAATGGACTTAAGGCTGTCGACCATTCACTGCAGGAGCGCTTGACCAGGATCAGGAGTCACCTGGCCCGGCAGCGGGCGGCACACCCGCCGGCGGCCGCCGCCGCCCCCGCTGCTGACCCCGCGGCCGCCCCGCAGTAGCGCGCCATGCAGACGCCCGACATCTCCCACCTGACGGCGGCCGACTACGACCGCGTCTACGAGCCGGCCGAGGACTCGTTCCTGCTGCTGGACGCTCTCGAGGCGGACCTGGAGCGGCTACGCGCGCGCCGACCGCGCCTGGCGCTCGAGGTCGGCAGCGGCTCCGGTGTGGTGATTACGGCGCTGGCGGCCGCGCTGCCCGAGTGTCTCTGTCTGGCCACTGACCTGAGCGAGGCCGCGTGCCGCGCCACATGGCGCACGGCGCACAGGAACGGCGTCACCGTGCTCCCCGTGCGCTGTGACCTGACGGCGGCGCTGCGGCCGCGCCTGGCCGGCCAGCTCGACGTGGTGCTGTTCAACCCGCCGTACGTGGTGACCAGCACGGAAGAGGTTTGCGCCAGCGGCGGCCTGGCGGCCAGCTGGGCCGGCGGAGAGCGCGGCAGGGAGGTGACCGACCGCCTGCTGCCGCAACTGCCCGAGCTGCTCGCCCCCGACGGACTGTTCTACCTGGTGGCCATCCGGGAGAACGACGTGGACGACTTGGGCGCGGTGATGGCCGGACTCGGCTTCGACATGTGTCGGGTGATGAGCCGGCGGGCCGGACCGGAGCACCTGTCCGTGCTGAGGTTCGAGCGGCGCGCCGAGTCGGGAGGGACCGGGCCGCCGGAGGGCGGAGATGTACCCCACTCCCAGAGACCCTGAGGATCGCCGCGGATCGGCCGGCCGGCGGAGAGGTGTACCGTAGGGACCGAGATATCGCGCGGTAGTCCGGCCGGTGGTCGGCGCTGTGCAGGAATATCATAACTGTGATCTATCCTGGGCACTCTTTTGTATATTCTGGGAAGTGGGAGTGGCTCAACCTAGTGAAGCTTCGCGCCGGTCGAGCGGGAAGACAACGCACCGCCGTATTGTCAAATGCATGCTAAGGGAATTAAGCAGGGACTTGCGTCGTACGACCGGATTTGATAAGATGGTCAATCAAAAATAGGGTTTGCAGTTCCTCGGCGTATACCCAGTTTGTTTATACCCCTGCCCTGCATCGTGCGATGAGAGCTGTCTGAGCATTGTTGAGTTTGCTATTCCTTGTCGGTGTTGAACGTTCTTGTTTTGTCGAGCGCCTAGCATGCTTTTGAATTTTGATGTGCTTTTATCAAGTGAGTATATCAGTGAAAATATAATAAAATCTGCATGCGATCGTTTTAAACATAGGTTTAGGCTGATGTCCAGTTTCTCATCTGCCTCAGCTGTATACTTATTACTTATTGTTCTTTCTCCTGATCGGGTTTCCCATTCCCACCATGCACTTGCCCGTCAATCACGTAGGCTCATCCGCATCTGAAACACAAGCGAAGCGTAAAATTACCAGCATTTTTCGCTTTTTTCGTCTCCCGCTTCTGTTACGCCAAATGTCCGTCGAAGTCTAGCAGAAGTTTGATATTCGCGAATTTCCTCAAGTTTCTTCTCTTTATGCTCATCTGCAATCAGCCGATTCTTGAGTGGCCGAGTGTCGAGTGTTAACCCGCCACTACATCTACTATACTGTGTACGCATTTCTACGTCCATAAAAACCAACCGTTTTACACGTCATAGCATGTATTCTGTGCAAACCATTGAGTGCAGAAATATCGGAAACCGCGAATGACAAATGATCATCTATTCTGCCTCGCTCACACGCCGCACGCAGCTACAATGAACATGAATTTTCGAGCATGACCTTATTGCTACTTACAATATGGCAACATTCAAACAGCAGCCGCAAAAGTTAAGCAACGCTCAGAAGACAGCAATGAGAACTGACGGGAACACGGCGGTCTACACGAAATGATCAATGACTACTTGGGAGGGGCGAGGGGACCATATAAAACGCATCACTGCCGGCCAATGGATGTACGCGCCGCGGCCTGGAGAACACTTATAAACTTTCGCTGTACACATCGGATAAATAATAGACGCCTATGTTGACAAACCAGTGTACGTAGGACGATGGGCAGTTGTGAGGCGCACAGCGCCCCGCCGGTACACTGACGGCTGAGCCGCGCGGGCGCCCGCGAGTCCCGCGCCGCTGGTCCGCGGCCGGCGAGGGCGGCTCTCCGGTCCGCAGCCCCGCGCGGCCCGTCCTAAGGCGAGATCAGACGTGTTGTTTGTCCACCGGCGGCCGCCCGAAGCGTCAGTGAGCGATCTGCCCGGCGGCGGCGGCGGCTGCCGCGCCTCGGTCCTCGTTACCCGCCCCGAGACACCACACAAGTTCACCGTCCCCGCCAGCGCGCCATCACTCGACGGGCTACCGAGCCCCAACGATTCCTGCTCCCGGGCCGCCAGCCTCTTCTCGCGCGCGTCGTGGACTCTCCGTCTGGCGCGACGATCCCACAGTTACGCTCCGCGGACGGCGCGACTGGCGCCTCCGTAACATTTCTGCACTCAATGGCTTCACACCGTCACATAAAACTTAGATCCACCTAAAATTCACAACCTGCTGAACGGTTCTGCGGGTCGGCACTGAGCGACTGTTAAACAAACACCCGCGCGCCGACCCACAAAGGTTGGACACATGATTTCTGCGTGCATGCTGGCGACGGGCGGGCGCTGGCGGGGCGGCTGGTCCGGTACAAAAGAGCGCGTGCTGCTGCGGCGGCGAGCCGCTAGCCGGCCTCGGAGTCGCTGGAGTCTGAACTGGAGCTGCTGGAGCTGCTCGAGCTGCTGTCCGAGTCGGAGGAGCTAGAGCTGGAGGCCGACAGTCGCGCCGTGCCGCCGCCCTCGCCACCCTTGGAGTCGTCAGCTGCGAGACACACGGACAGACCCAGTCAGCTCAGGAAATAATGCATAAAAAAGATTCTACCGTGGCCACGAAACACGCATCGATGTTTCTCTGCCTGTTCAGCTCTGTCTCCATGCAACAGCAAGAATTAATGAGGCATAGCAACTATCGAGTGAAGATGATAATTGCAGGTTACCTTTGTTGACTGGGAAGGTCGACGGTTTTAGGTTACTTAATGCACGAAAACGAAGACTACTTTAACTAAGTATTCTGGGTTGCAAACGGCACTAAATCACAAATTATATGCGATACAGTAAAATATTGACGAAACAACCTATTGCAATTAAATTTCGTAAAAGCAAGAACAAAAAAATGGCGAGCCAAATGGCCGTAAACCTAACTGCGCAGTACTTCCGCAACATAACCCCTAATGATGGCTAAAAATAATGTTTTCAAGAACATGGGACCAACTTCACTCCAAATAGCCAATGCCAATGCCAAGTCAAGCCACGGTTTGATACACACAGAATGGACTACCATTCCTTCACTCATTTGGTATATGGACTGACGAGAGGGAGCTTGCACCCCAGTGAGGGCAAGCAGAAGTCAGACGCTGACCGGCCCGCCGGCTCCAGTGCTGCTGACTACTCACACTTTTTGACGGGTTTCTTGGAGGTGGTGCCGAGCTGTCCGGTGACGTCCTGCAGCCGCTTCTCCAGCTCTTGCTTCTTCTCCATCATCTGCTCGTCCTTCGACTTGCTGCTCTGCTTCTTATCTAAAGGAATGGCAGACAAGCGTCAACAACCACGCATATTTACATCATAACGGGAGCTGTTCAACGCCTGCAAACGACGGGATTGGGTATGCTGGGTATAGAAGACAGGCCAAGACGCGGGAAGCTGATGGGAAAGTGCTCGTCTGAATTTATACTCACCGAACTGTTTTCTGGGCTTTTTGCGCAGACAACTGGCCACGTAGGACTCGAGTTCGCGCAGCGTGGAGGGTCGCAGCGTTTCGAAGTCGATCTCGATCTCGTCCGGGTTGGAATCTCGCAGAGAGGGCTCGCGAGACTGAATAATGTGGACAACGCGACCCAGCTTATCACCTGGGAATGCATGGAGCGAGCCACGTTACGAACAGTCCGTACCCGGAGCCTGGCGGACGGGTGGACCGAGAACAGTCAGAAGCTCCGCTATGATCCCTGTCGGGTCCGACCGGCCGGCGGACCGGGCGACGACCGTAGAACACGGCCGACGTCAGCCACCGGCCGGACGGAACACCGACTCAGATGACGCGCATGGGCTGAAGTATCATCATGGTTGTAAGACAGATGAATCACCTGATAAGACAACAAACTAGTGGGGCATGATTATGGCTATTGAATGAAATCTTTTAACATTATAGCTCGGTACACTGGTTGACATAACTCCTAGTGTATCAGTACGAGACAAACGAACAAATTGGGTCTGAGCTGAGTAAAGCAGCCCAAGTGTTTTCTTCCCAGAACAGCTGCAAGCGTCATCTCGAACTCACCAGGCAGCTTGTTGATGTCCAGGCTGAGCTGCCGCTTCTCGTCGTAGGACATGGGTCGGGCGTTATCCTCGTCCTCCTCAGAGTCGTAGGCGGGCGCCGGACCGGCCGCGGCCTTCTTCTTGCCGGGGCCGCCCTTGGCCGCCTTGCCGGCGCCGCGCGGCCGCCGACCCACCGCCGGCTTGTTGCCGCTCGGTGCCTTCATCGGCTTGGTCTTGAGCGCCTTGCCAGCGCCGGCGGTGCCCGGCCCGCCGGCCAGACTGTTACCGAGCGGACTGAGCGCCGATAGACCGTCGCCGTGGTGGCGGTCGCGCTTGCTCTTCTTCTTTTTGTCCTTATCCTTCTTTTTCCTGGAGAGGCTCTCCTGGAGGAGGGTGTTGATCTGCTCCTGGACGACCCGCAGCTGAGAGCGAGAGGGCATGCTCGGTTAGGACCAGGCCAGAGCAATCAGCCGGTCTGTGTAAGAGCGACAATGGTCAGAAGCTCCGCTATGATCCCTGTCGGGTCCGACCGGCCGGCGGACCGGGCGACGACCGTAGAACACGGCCGACGACAGCCACCGGCCGGACGGTACACCGACTCAGATGACGCGCATGGGCTGAAGTATCATCATTTCAACCGGTAAAAATTTGTGCTAATAAATGTCTTAGAATCTATCACAAGCAACAATAAAACATTGCTATGCATGAAGTTCTTTGAACCGCGTACGAAATTTCGCATTGCGTAGCACAGTCTTTGCTCATGGTTAAATCAAATACAACACAAAGTCATGGCCAACGTAACCACGCATGGATAAAACCCTCACTGCCGCGCAGCTCCGTTCGGCTCCGGCCCGTACCTGGTTCTGGAGCACGAGCAGCTTCTGTTCCCGCTCCTCCTCAGAGTGGTCAGACTCCGACTCGGAGCTGGACCGATCCTCGTCAGATAGGAACGCCTCGTCCTCGGGAATCTTCGCAAACCTTAGGGCGCAAAACCACAGCGCACGTTACGTCACCGGGGCGGAGAGATGACGCAAGCTGAACATCGAACTGGGAAAATAACCTTTCACCAGTAAAGTTTCATCAGCAACAACATAAAAATGAAACTTGGATACAACCAAGTTAACAATGCAGTTTTCAAAGTAATCCAAACTTAAAAGTCGCATTTGATAACTTGCTCCCGTTATCCATCGATCGATAGGCTGAAAATAACTACCTATGCATTCAAATTAGTGCATAATTAACCGCTCCAGCGGGCGAATGCTCACTTCATTTCGAAGACATCCTGCAGTTTTCTGGCCATGGCGACCACATCGTGGTCGGGCGGGTTGTACTTGTAGCAGTTGGTGAATATGAGCCGCACGTCGCTGGCGAACTCGCTCGGCGAACGGTACTCGCGGTTGTCCATTTTCGTCTTGGCCGTGCCCAGGTCCATGGGCTGTTTGATAATATCGTGGTAGTCCTGCAAGCCCAGGCTGTCCGCGTCCACAGGCTTGTAGAACGGCCACGCGTATGCCTGAGGGGTGAGACGGCGCGTGTTACGGACGGGCGAGAGACGGACTCTGAAGCTGTAGGGAAGGAGCGGTCAGAAGCTCCGCTATGATCCCTGTCGGGTCCGACCGGCCGGCGGACCGGATGACGACCGTAGAACACGGCCGACGTCAGCCACCGGCCGGCCAGAAAACCGACTCAGATGACGCGCATGGGCTTAAGTATCATCATGCTAATGAGGCATAATATAACAGGAACTAACTGTTAATTAAGGTATGTAATAGTCATTTTCCTAGACATTTAGGTTCAATTAATAACCCACTTAGCCAACCAATCGATAATCGAGGCGTCCTAACCAAGTAAACTTATTAATCGAGTTGTTAGATGCTAAAAAAGTGTCAGCGCTTCCACAATTTAGGATCGCCGCATACAGACAATTTACTTAAAATA